GCCCGCTAGCATGTCCTACCCAGCGCCTATGCGCGCGCCTTCGTGCCAGCGCTTGCCCCCAGTGCTTACCGTTCGCCAGCGCCCCTGCCCTAATGCCATACGCGCCTGCCCACCTGCAGCCCGGCCGCCCGGGCACGCCTAGCCCAACATCCCTTGCCGCCCACTCCTCCCAAATAAGGAATATATTTCGTTATGATTTTGGTTTATTCTTGGGAGATTTGATTTAGGATTTACTTTTGATTTATTGTTTTATTAATCAAATTTAAATTTCATCTTTAGGCAAGTTTTAGACATTTTAGAAATTTATCAATTTTAATTTTATTTTTAATTTTGTTATTTTCCTTAAAAGGCCAAAGGCCTTGGCCTATATATAGGCGTGTTCCTCTCCATTGTACCATACCCTTGGATTATTGAAGTTGAATAGAATTGAGAGTATTCTCACCCCTTGCCTTGTGCAAACCCCTTCTCAAATTTCGACTGTGTGGTTGAACTTAGGCCTTCGTATTTGAACCCCTCGGAGCATGCTTGTTTGATTGGTCATCAAACTCGTGAAGTGTTTCCGGCCTCGAGCATAGTGAGTCATCTGTCTGCTCAAGGTAAAACTGCAAAGGTAATCCCTCTAACCTTGGCCTTTCAGGTTGAACCGTCTATATGATTGGATTCAAGTGGCTTGTGGCTCGAGTAACTTAATACGCTTGGGTTGTCGCGTATCAGTCTGTGATGAGTCAGCTATCTGATCCTCATTCGTTTGATTGAATCTTCTTCTAATATAAAACTTAAACTCAGGATTTGGACCAATTTGATCATTTCGTAGTAATTCTCCCCCTGAATCAGAATTTTCTACTCTTGACATTGAAGGACTCGTAAAGTTGGGACTTAAAATATTAGGAAGAGGAACATGTATATCCCAAAAATATCATCCTCTAAATTTAGTTTCTCCCCTTGAAGATAATTTTGGGTAAAAAATATTTGATTTTTCAAAAATGATACATCCATTCTTACATGTAGTTTTTTTTGTTCGAGGATCAAAATATTTATACCATTTTTTCATAGAATCATAGCCCAAGAAAATGCATTTAATAGCTCTATGATCTAATTTTGACCGAAAAGGACTAGGAATATGCACATAAGTGGTACACCAAAAAACTTTGAGAGGTAAATCAGAGTTCAAACGAGTTGTTGGAAAATGTTCTTTCCAAGCATCGATCAAGAGGAGTTTTAAACTTCAAAACTTTAGTAGGCATTCGATTTATTAGGTAGGTGTATCTGTAAGAACAGCTTCCCCCCATAAGTACTTAGGGACATTCATAGAAAACATTATGGCTCGAACAACCTCCAATAAATGCCTATTTTTCGTTCAGCAATACCATTTTGTTGAGGAGTATCTCGACAAGTGGAGTGATGAACAATACCTTTATTTTTCAAAAACTCACTCAAATGTTCATTGAAATATTCAGTTCCATTGTCAGAATGCAAGATATTAATTTTGGTTTGAAATTGGGTTACAATCATATTGTAAAAACATTTGAAAATATCTTTCACATCAGATTTGTTTGTCAATAAATAAACCCAAGACAAGCGAGTATGATCATCAATAAAAGTTACAAACCACCGTCTACTACTATGAGTTAAAACTTTAGGACCCCAAACATCGCTATGAATTAAGTAAAACGGTTTGGAGGACTTGTAAGGTTTTGGCAAATATGTGGATCGATGATGTTTTGCAAAGATGCAGTTTTCACAATGAAATTGAGAACAATTAACTCCTTTAAACCAATCTGGGAATAGATATTTGAGATAGATGAAACTAGGATGTCCTAGCCTAAAATGCCATAGCATATTTTTTTCTTTAACAGAGAGAAAAATGTTACTACTAAAGCACTAAGTTATTTTATTACTACCAGAAGGCTCATCAAAGTAATAGAGGCCATCCAGCATCCTAGTACATCTGAACGTCTTCCCCGAGGACCGATCCTGAAAAACATAGTGAGATGCATAAAAAGTAACAAGACAGTTAGAATCTTTAGAGAGTTTACTAACTGTTAGAAGATTGCAGGCTAATTTAGGAACATGAAGAACCAATTGAAGAGTGATATTTTCGGTTAATTTAATGGTTCCCTTTCTTGCAATAGAAGAGAAACTGCCATCGGCAACCTTAATTTTTTCATTACAATATGTAGGAGAGTATGATTCAAATATTTTAGAAGAACTAGTCATGTGGTCAGAAGCTCCGGAATCAATGATCCACGGAGATGAGTCAAAACAAGAAAGTGTTCTAGGGTAATTACCTGTTTGTGCCAAGGAAATACAAAGATTACCAAATGACGAATTGGTCTCTAGCCGTTATAATAGATGCTCTTTCATGGATAGATTTGAGTCAACACTATTAGTGTGAACTTGCTCCCGGTCGCTCTCATATTCCGCTAGACTTTGAGTTACTTTAACGATTTCTTTAACCATGGTGGCAAAAAACAGGTTAATTATAACAATTAGACCACAAAATTGATATTAGAGTAGAAATACTGAACCAGAAAGCCAAAAGAATGCCAAAAGAATGGCAGAAGCAGACATAACCGTTGAACCAAACCAGACCAAATCGGATGAACCAGGTCGATCTGAGTGAATCGATCCGAACCGGACCAAACAGATCCTAAATGCAAACCGAACCGAGCTGAACTGAGTTGAGCCGAATCAAGCAAACCGCCAAACCGGTCTAGGATTTGTAAGACAGCCACAATCCATGAAATAGACTTCATGCAGACAGAATCGAGGCGTGGCGCGAATCACAGCGACACTAGAAAAATTTCCGACAGCTGAACAACGTTCGACTCTAGACTTCCTCCTCACGAATGCTGGTGACCTGCAGCGGTGGCTCTGACGTTCCCTTTCAGTGGCACAACTACCCACAACTAACAGCGAACGACGATGGAACAAAGGGGCAATGCTCGAACGACGTCAGACGGCAGCGGAATAGGCACGGACGGCGACGGGCGGAGGTGTAACGAGTCTCAATGTCCTCCGAGCTCCAAATCTACTATTAGTGATACAGAATGCACGACGAAATAAACCCAACAAGCGAACAACCCCCGGCCAAAGGAATCATCTGAAAGTAAGGTGCGTCGTTTGACGACAGCGGCTAAGGTTCCGACGATGAAGGGGGGCGATGGCAGTTGCTCAAAGGCTAGGGTTTCTAAACATCCTTAGGATATTTGGGTTTATTTTTGGCTCTGATACCAACTTAGTTTTGATGGAATCAAATTATTTGTATTCCAATATGTATTAATAATAAGAAATACATTGCCTTTTTATATAGAAGATAGACTCAAACATAGATGGAAATAAAGATAAAATAACAATTAATATTGACAATTAATTTACCGCTAATATTTACAAATAATAAACCAACACTATTAATATACCTAATACTAATCTTTTGCATGTTGATACATCCTGCTGGCTCTATTGTTACTGATACTTCTTAGAACCTTCGTTGTTCCAGCCGTTCCATCCCCAGGCCTTCCTATTTACATGATTACCATTGTAGCCTTTTAAAACATTCTCCACCTTCCTCAGCCTTTACTAAACACCCCCTGGAGCACTATCTTTGTTATACTAGGCTTTCTCTTTCACGTTCTTTATTTGTTATGAATGTGTCTGCTTCTTATGAGCCTCAATTTTACCATCAAGCTATTGCTTATTCCCATTGGCGTGATGCTATGGAAGCTGAACTTCAAGCTATGATGGACAATAACACTTGGACCGTTGTCCCTTTGCCACCTAATCGTAACTGTTGGGTGTCGTTGGATATATAAAGTGAAACTCAATTCTGATGGCTCTATTGGGAGGTACAATGCGCGCTTGGTAGCAAAAGGCTACATAAAATAACAAGGTCTTGATTTTATTGAGACATTTTCTCCGGTGGCTAAAATGGTAACTGTTAAAGTGCTTCTTACCTTAGCCGTTTCTACAGCTTAACCTATTATCCAATTGGATGTTAATAATGTCTTCCTTCATGGGGATCTTGCGGAAGAAGTCTATATGGATCTTTCTCTCGGTTATAAACCTTCTGTTGTATCTTCTTCTCATGGTACACGGCTTGTATATCGTCTCAATAAGTCCATATATGGTCTTAAACAGGCTTCTCGCCAATGGTTCTCTAAATTTTCTACCGCCTTGATAACTTTGGGTTTTCGGCAATCTAAATCAGATTATTATCTTTTTTTAGAGGCACTGATGACTCCTTTGTTGCACTACTTGTGTATTTTGACGACATCATTCTTACCGGGACTAGTTTGTTTCTTCTTCAGCAATTGCAGAACTTATTGAATGCTTGTTTTCGGCTTAAAGAACTTGGTACTTTAAAGTTCTTTCTTGGTCTCGAGATTGCTAGAACTTCCAAAGGCATTTGTTTGTCACAGAGGCACTACACTTTAACTCCTTTGGAGGATGCAGGCCTTCTTCGTTGTCGCCCTACTTCTGTTCATATGGATCCCTTAGTACGACTTCGTGCTAATGACAGTAAACCTCTTTTAGATCCCTCGGCTTATAGACGTCTTGTGGGACGTTTGTTGTATCTCACCATATCTCGGTCGGATATTACATTTGTTGTTCATCGGCTTAGTCAATTTATTTCTCAGTCATGTAAGTTACATCTCACTGCTGCTACTTATTTGCTTCGTTACCTCAAGACATCTCTAGGACAGGGTGTTTTTCTTTTTGTTTCTTGTTCATATCAGCTTCGTGCTTTTGCTGATGCAGATTGAGGCTCATGTCCAGATGCTCGACGTTCCACCATAGGTTTTTGTGTTTTTTTAGGTGATTCTCTTGTGTCTTGGAAATCTAAGAAGCCGACAACTATTTCTCGATCCTCTGTTGAGGCCGAATATCGGGCTTTGGCTACTGTCACTTGTGAATTGGTTTGAATCTCTAATTTGCTTTCTGATTTACAAGTGTCTTTTGTGCGTCCTGCCTTGTTGTTTTGTGATAATCAGACCGCTATTCACTTGGCCTCGAATCCAATGTTTCATGAGCGTACAAAACACATTGAGCTTGACTGTCACTTTGTTCAGGATTGAGTTCAGGATGATTTTCTTCGATTGCTCCCTGTTCGATCTGCTATGCAATTGGCTGATGTTTTTACTAAGCCTCTTTCACGTTATGTGCTGCATTTTCTTATGTCCAATATGAGTTTGCTCGGTATTCATCGTCCATCTTGAGGGGGGCGTATTAGATATTGTTAACTAATTTTTAGTTTAATTTTCCAATATTGTACATATAGGTTGTGTAAATAGTTTAATTTCTAACTAATTCAGTTTTTTAGATAGCTTATGTTAACTCTCTTTTACCTCTCTTTTACTGTGTATTTAAAGAGGGAAAGTTTTTTTTTTTTGAGGTAAGGGACTAATGAGTATCAATAAAATAATAGTACCGTTTTCTCTTTGATAGATAGAAGAAGTATAGATGTTAATTTTTAGTCCAAATGAAGAAGGAAGAAGAAAAGAATGATGAGTGACCTTTTCAAGGACTAAAGGAAATTTTGTTAAGAAATTTAAAGCATTGACCCAACAGTTTTGGTTGTTCGTTTGATTAGATAAATTTTACTTAATTTTAACCGATTTTCTTATTTAAAAGTTCACTTCATTACTATTATTATTATTATTATTATTATTTTTTAAAGTTGTCTATGTGTCCCTTGATATAAGAAAATTTTAGACGGAATAATTCTTGTATCTAGAATATCAAAAAGTAGCAACAAAACAAATCGCATTAATTTTCTACAGAATATTTTAATTAAAAAATTGAGTGATTAAAAATATATATATTTTTAAAATGTTTTGAGACCGAATTAAAAACCATATCTTAATTTTGACATGTCCAAAACGATCACTCGAAAACAGAAGGATATATGAAAATTTGATTCAAATTTCTTTAATTTCAAAACTAGTTTTGGTTGTGGATTTCAAGGCCAAATTTTTTTTCCAACTTAATATTTGAATCGATAAGGTTGTAATCTTATAATAAATATAATATGTATAATGATAGTATTGAGAAAGAAAGGAAATTACAATTTCCTAAAAAAAAAAAGAAGGAAATATAAGATTGTATTTCACCACAGTACGTTGTCTTTCATATTTATTTTACGTGATACAAAATTCTTACTTGCATGCTACACATTATTAGTTGTTAACAAGATCTAAAAGCAAAATAAAAAAGAGTAGAAACTGAAACAAAACAATAGTGCATCCAAATCACAACTTGCAGGCTGGGGCTATAAAGTCAGGGACCACAATAAAAGCAATGGACCAAGTAGCAATAAATATAGAGGAGTTACTCTGACGGTAAATAGGTTTAAGATTTGGCAATTCTCCATCTTTTGTGATCTCCAATGGACTCCCATTTAAAAGCACTTTAGAGCTTCTAAGCAGGCCATCTTTTGGGGTCAAGTGGTATTCCTCTCGATGAATTGATGTTTTGCTTCCATCTTTTGAGACTCCTTCATTTGGATTGTGCTTTGAATGCGAATTAATACTCTTGGGATTGCTTTTATGCAAACTAATGTTGATGTGATTTTTAATCTTGATTTCAAAGTCGGTTTCGTTGCTCAGATTGATGAAAAGTAAGGTTACACCAGACTACAAGACAAGATGATAAATACAAATCAATTAGACATTAATTTTTATTTCTAAATGAAATATAGTGTTTTTAACGTTAGAACAAATTAAACTTTTAATTTATCTAATTCTAAAAGGGGCTTCTTACCCTTCCTCTCGAGCAATGAGCATAGCTGCGAAGATACAATGAAACATTATTGTGAATCTTCAGAACACCCGGACCCATAAGTCGGTGAAAGAGGAGTGCACTGATGAAAACAAAATAAGAAATTAAAATGAGAATTCTTTTAGAAACTGGAAAAAATAAGAGATGTCTAATTCTATAAATTTAATCTGTCTTACCCATAGTAATCTGGTGTAGGAACTAAAGTTGAGGCTCTAAGGACACCGTAGAGTCCACCAATCAAAGTCTGTCGACAATATACTTTGGTATTGTACAAAGAGGCCATCCCAAGTTGATCTAGGTACCTATTATTACGTTAATATTTGTTAAACTAGTAAATGATTAGATTTATCGTGGATTAAGTGTGGTTTAACAATTATTCAAATAAAAATTATTTTTTCTCCTCTGCGTCCATATTTTAAAGGGAGAAAAGAAACTCATGAGCAAGAAAATACAAAAAAAAAAGAAAAAGAAAGAAAAGAGCTACACAAATTTAATTACCAAAAACTGTTGATGAATGCATCAGAAATATGAGGACTGCCACCATGATAGGCTCCACCAGCTTCTCCAACCCAAGCAGCAGACCAAGGGCCATGTTTTTTAATTGTGTTCTCGAGTTGTTTAAATACGTTTGATATTTGGCTAAGGTATTTAGGATCAACGAATCTATAGATCAGTTTGGGGTCATTGCCTACAAATCAAAGAGAGTTTCTCAATATTGAAACTATAGCTTATATATATAAAATGCGTAATGGGATGGGTAGAATAACCGAACCTGCACCCATGTTATATATATGATGAGTGAGAACATTGACAACTTCCGTCCCGGTTTCTTTTACAAGATCCTCATACCATGTGCCATCAAAGAATGCTCCAGGTGCCACAATCAAAGGTTTTTGCTGGGAGTTATTGTACAAACGATCGATAATTTCTCGGAGTTTGATTAGGTCTTTTGCATATTGTGCAACAGTAATACTTGCACCAATACTATGAGATCCAGCCAATTCATTACCTGCATAGTGTCACATGTCTCAATGAGCAAGAAGTAAATTAAGTCATTTAACTCCACTAAGAAAATCAACTGGTAGTAATATTTAATTACCAAACTCCCATGAATTTATTTGATAATTCTTCTCGACTGTGTATTGAATAAGTGCCTCAGCATTACTATAGTTCCAATCTCCTTCCCACTGAATTCCTTTCGTCTTGTACTTCCCAAGGAGGGCGTTCAAACCAAAAGTCACAATTGCCCTTTTTTTAAGAAAATTATTGAGTATAAGAAATCAAAGAAGGCAAGAAAACATATAGAGGGATAGAATTAAGAAAGATAATATATATAATAACATACCCTGTCTTGTTGAAAAAATCATTCAAATCATCCCACCTTTCCATGTACAAACATCCTTCGGAGAAGTCAAATAATAAATCTTTGTTTGCTTGAAATGGGTGGCAATGTCCCTTGAAGACTCCAACATTATAAATCAATCTGTCTTGCAAAGTACCTCCTACTCTAATTCTTAGAGACTTGAAAGCTAATGATATAGAACAAATTAAATTAGATTTTTACTATAATATCAACTTTTATTAGTTAAATCTCATAGAAATTGTTAATAATATTATGTTCAAAAGAGCCAAACCTTTCACTGCATTGGTAAGGATGGGAAGATATAAATCCTAGAACAAAGGAAGAAGAGATGATTAATAACATATACTACAATTTGAAATTTTTTTTTTCTTCCTATATTGATGAATATCTTAGGACTCATTTGGTAACGTTCATGTTTCTTGTTTCCGTTTCTTTATTTTTAATGGAGAAAAATGTATTGCATGATTCCAACCTCCAATAATTCAAATATGATAAAACAATTTTTTTATTTATGTATTGCAACAAATTGAAAATGAGAACAAAAAAAGGAGAAACTTGTTTTGTTTGTTTCTAAAATTTTTATACAATTGTGAGAATGTTCAGAAACAATAAACAAATTAGTTGTAAAGTGCTTAAATTTCTTAAGAAAGTTGGAAACGAGAAACAAGAAATGGAATGTTACTAAACGAGCCTCTAGATTCTCACCACATTGAGCATAGATGCATGGCCATCCCAAGCACAAAGTTTCGTCCAACTACTACACTCATCGTGAGGCCAAATATCCATAGTCAAGCAGATGAAATTTTCATCGGTTTCTGCTATTGTTGTGGTTCCATCAATCACAATCCTACCGATCGTAACATTACGAGCCAAAATAGCTGGAACTAAAGCAAGAAGGAAAATAATCAAAAGGAATTGACACTCCATTAGGTCCTGCCAACAATATGAAACGAACACACAAATGAGACTAGTACAGTAGATAAATAAATCGAAAGTTTTTCATCTAAATTTTGATGATATTTGACATAAACGAGTTGAGAGCTTAATTTAGTAAAAGAAGATTGAAAATTACCTTTATAATGGTGGTTTAGGAGTCTGAGAATTGGTAGGTGAGATAACAGAGAAAATTAAAGGATCCAAAGTACCCCTCAAAATCAAGATTATTATTAGAAAGTAAAGGAAGGGATGGTGAAATCAAATTGGAGGAGAAGAGTTTATATATGCTTGAGATTGTTCGGTTTTAATTTCAATCAGAACTTGTCTTCTTTAAAACAACAATTTGAATTGAATGCAACTCCCTAACATTAATGGGGTTTCAATTTTCTTCTTCAGAAGAGAAAGGAAACTGCATGCAAAATTCAAACCTTAACTATTTCGAACTGTAGGATTTATGAAGTGCATTAACTCATTGGCCTTGAGTTTTGTCTTGCCATATTAGATTTAATGTGTTGATTTCCATTGTTAGCAATTAATTGTATTTCTTGATTGTGATTATTCCATAATTTTTATTCCTCTTTGCAATTTTGTTTTAGTTAATGAAAATTGAATATTAAAAGATTGACTCTGTATTAATGTATTTTACTGTAATATTGGGTTTTGCCATGTCTAGGAAGGTGTTAGATTGACTCTATATTAATGTATTTTGCTATAATATTGGGTTTTCACATATCTAGGAAGGTGTTATCGGATAATGGTACAGGTAGATCACTCGAAGAATATTCTTTTGGTCAATGCTGATGTAACTTTTTCCCATACAAGTATTTCGTCGGAAAAAGTTATAAATCTCGACGTTTTGCTTTCTCGTCTAGAAAACGTTGGGAGTAAGACTTTTTCCAACGTTTTCTTAATACGTTGCCACTTTTCCTCACGTTATTCTTAAAACGCCATAAAAAATAAGATATCCCGTTTTGGGTAAACATTGGGAGATAAGGCTTCTCGATGTTTTTTATGTAACGTCGAGAGAGATGTCAACATTTTGCATTTGCGTCAAGAAAAATCCATACGTTTTAAACAAAATATTGCGCGTTAATGCTTTTCCCAACGTTATTTTGTACTTGCATCGGGAGAATTATTTTGCCTTAAAACCTTTCTTCCTCCTTTCAGCCTAACGAAAAAGAAACGATACCCTCCCCTTCCGTTGCTGCCTGCACCTACCCCCTCCATCGTTGTTGTCATCTACATATATTAGCATGAGCATCAATAATGAGTCAGTTTTAAGGATAAACAGAGAAGGATAAGATCTACTACATATAAATCATGGAACAGAAAATTAGAAAGTCTATCAAACCAAGCTCTTGGTGCTTGTTTTAAACCATAAATGGGCTTTTGAAGTTTGTACACATATGTAGGATAGCGATGATTAGCAAAACCTGAAGGTTGTTCCATGTATACTTGTTCCTTTAGGTGTCCAAGAAGAAAAGCATTTTTAACGTCTAGTTGACGTATTGGCCAATTTGCACTTGTAGCAAGGGATAAAATTAACTTGATTGTAGTAGGCTTTAACTACTGGATTGTAAGATTCTTCATAGTCCAAACCTTCTAATTGAGAGTATCCTTGGGCCACCAGGCGAGCTTTGTAGTGATCGATGGTCCCATCTTCCTTGTATTTTGTTTTGAAAATCCACTTTGAGCCAACTATATTGAATTCATGAGGTCTTAGTACAAGGCTCCATGTTTAGTTTTGTACAAGAGCCTTCATTTCTTCATAGCATTTTTCCAATGCGGTTTTGTTAGAGCCACCTTGTAATTCTTTGGCTCAGTTTGAAGATTTTCAGTAAGATAAAGAGCGATGAGTTTATGAAATTGATTTACTTCTGATATAACTATGATATCTACTACTATAGGTGATATAGAATTGATTGACTTCTGATATACTATTGATTTACTTCTGATATAACTATGATTGACATGTATACTTGATATATATGTGATATATGTTTGATATACATATGATATGAAATTGATTTACTTTTGATATAACTATGATATCTACTAATTATTTTGAACATATTACCTCTAATATGTTTTTTGATATACTACTAATTTATGAAATAATTTTTTTTTTAGATAAAAGCAATGGTTCAAACACGAAGAATGAAAGCAAAAAACATCGTCGAAAATGTTGATGTCGTTCGTCCCAAAAGACAACATAAACCAACGCCAAAAGTGTTGCTATGGAAAAACGGAAAGCTTCAAAGATATTATCTCCGAAGACACGACAATCACCAAGAACGAAGATTGATGTCCCAAGCTTTTACCTAAAGATTATACAAGAATGAAACTTATGCTTTTCTAGATTGTTGGAACTTATGCTTCTGGAACTTATGCTTCTTCTTTTATAGAATTTTAAGAATGACATTGTTAGTCTACTTTTGGTTTATGCTACTGGTTCGTTTTGATGTTTAAACCTTTAAGTTTTTTGTTAAAGGACTTTGCTGCTGATTTGATGTTGATGTTGATACCCAAGAATAATGTTTAAACCTTTTAAGAATGACATTGTTGCTGATTTCGATTTGATCTTTAAAACTTTAAATAAAACTTAATTGTACTACTGATATATGTATGATGTATACTTGATATATCACTGATATATTATTGATATACAGAAAAACCCTAAGTTTCTATTTACCTCTAATTTCTAATTGATTGTTGATTCATCTTCTTCCCTTCAATTTCTCATTCACAGTAAATTCGAAAATCATTATTGACATTCACATTCACGTTCCTTTCAAGTATTCTTTCTCATTTTCAGTAAGTATCAATTTTTTTTCTCATTTTCCATGCATGCCAATACCGACTGATTTCTAATTGATCAAAAAAATACAAGACAAAGGGTTAAAGCAGGTAAAATAGTGATTTACTATTATACAACTGATATAGAACTGATTGATTTTTGATATACTAATGTTGTCAGATATACTCCTGATATATATGTGATATATGTTTGATATATAATAACGAAAAGAAATTGGGAAAGTTTACACGCGATAACTGAAAAGGGTAATTTGGAAATACTGAAAATTTTAAAATAAGGATTTTAAAAAAAAAAAACTATATCTGAAAATGTAAAAAAGATATGCTATTTTGTTAAATATAGAAAACTTATTGCTACCCATTACAAATTCCCTAAATATTAATCGCCAAACCGAGCATAGTTCAGTGGTAATTGACATATATCTCCAACCAAGAGGCTTGTGAGTTCGATCCCCCATCTCGGCCGACTATGTCGCGATGAACCCACAATGCAAGCTAGATGAACCAGAGTAGGTTGAGAGATCAATTGATAAGAAGAGACTTGCATAAGGAAACAAACACTCCGATGCGCAAGTCAGTTTTGGAATTGGACCTTAGTATTAAGATCGAGATAGAATGAGTTACCTGACTGGGGAGTGTGACCCCCTATTTGTAGGTTTGGATATCCGACAGAGTATTCGACCGACAATTAATTGTGTCGGGTTAAAGTTATGCTTATCGAATGTCTTCATGCTAGTCGTGCAGAGTTTTGATACCTCTGTCCAAAATTTGACTAAGTGTATCGGGTCGTTTCTTGGGGTGGAACAAACATTTGAGTTCGACCTGTGATCAGTCACTTGCATGCTGGGTTCGAGTGTCTCGAATCGATTAGTGGTTTACCTACTCCTTGTCCTCCATGTGAAGATGCTATTTCATGCCTCCAACGTTGGTTAATATGAAATACATTCCGATAATGAAAAAGTACTACTACCTAATAAAATAGTAATAAAATAAAGTAAGATATATTATTAATTATTGTTAATTTAAACCAAACTTATATTAGTTCATTCATTTTTTATTAGTGAGAAATATGAAAGGGTGTCTTAGTAATTATAACGTGTCTAAGACCTAACATGCTTCAAAATAGTTTATTTGAAACAACATCAGTATGTTCTGTTTCTCATTTCAACAATTCATAGTAAAAAAATTTTATTTAAAAAAAAAAATCTTTGTTCTCATTCATTTCATTATGATGAATTTTTATTTGGATTCATTATCATTTTAATTATAGTAAGTAAATGATAAGTGACTTTTGGCTCTAGTAATTTAGGGTGTTTTTGAGTCATTTTATAGTTTTTACCGACATTTCCTTTGGGTAGTTTAACTATTTTTAGTATTTCTTTCTTTGTAGGACTTGAGTTGATGAAGAGGAGAAAAAGAGCCAATAAAGAAGCAAAAGCGAACCAAATTCTAGTGCGTTGGGTGCCTAGGCGCAGAAAATTGACAAAATGACAGAATGTTGCGTGCCTAGGCGCTACAAACTTGGAAGCGGGGTTTTTGCTAGTACGTGTTTAGGCGTCTAGGTGCCGAAATTGGGCGCCTAGGCACTTGCAACAGAATATTGTTAAATATCTCATACTAGCCCTAGCCGTCGGGGAGGAAAAACGGTGGAGCATAATGTTTTTAGAGAGAAGTTGGGATTTTGAGAAGATTGGAAGGAATGCGAAGAACAGAGGCTCGAGAGATCGCCGAATTTGTTTTCTTTCTCTCCTTTAGCTTCAACTTCCTTCAATGAAGTTGATTAAGATTTTCTTTTTGAATTATAGCATGAACTAATTACACTTTTCTAGGGCGTTAATGTAGCCTTTATCAAACTTTATTTCTCCTTGTTCTTTATTTGATTTCTAGTCTAAACTTATTGGTTGTGAGAACTTTTCTTTTCTTAATGCATTGTTTGGATTTGACCAATCTTTACATTGATTTTTTGTCATAAATCAATGTTGAGAAACAAGATTATTGGCTAGGTTTGGATATTTCTCCTTTATTTGAGCAAGAGATAGAGATATTCTTGCAAATTTGGTGGCATATTTGGGTTTTACATGCTTGAATATTTGAACTACATGAGTAGCCATAGGAATATAGGTGCTCTACTCTTTAAAGAAACTTGTTATTGCTTGAGAAAGAATATCGAGTCA